TAGCGCCAAACGGGGCGAGAGATTTCCCAACCGTCGGAGAGGGATTTGCGGGGAGCTGGCCGTCCCTCTTGTGTTCCTCCGGGCAGGTGAAGGGTGGATGAGCCCAGGGCTCTCCGGGGAGTCCAAGGACAGGGAATCCACTCTGCTCACAGAGCAGCTTTGCGAGGGATTCATCTCGCTTTCAGCGGCATCCGCATGAGCCACGAGCCCGGCTGGCGTTGCCATTGCCCTGGTCCCCTCCATCCCTTCCACGCGGCTTCGCCCTGGCGCAGGGCAGAGCTGCTGCTTGGGCTGGTGGAGCCCCTGGGGAGGCGGTGATGCTCTCTGGGACCCCCGAATCCATGTAATCTTTGATGTCCTGACGGACCAGATCCTGCCCTGAGCCATCCCCTGAGACCCGCTGGCCCCGAGGAGGACAAGCCCATGCTCAGAGAGGACTGTCACCCCTCGAGCCTCTCCAGGTTCCCCTGGGGTGTGCTTGGCCCAGGCCCTGGCTGCGATGAGCATCGCCCCAGCGTTTGCCTCTGAATTCTCTGCTTGCGGAGGTGAGACGGGAGCCCCGCGCAGGGACGGAGCTCAGGCCGGCGGCTGCTCGCTGCTGCTGTCTCCCGAGGAAGGAGGAGGAAGGGAACAAAAGGCAGATGCCCTTTCCGTCCTCCCCACGCACATCAGGGGACGTGCACGGGCGCTGCCTGCCTGCCTGCACGGAGGGGCAGGCAGCCCTGCGACAGGGGTCCCTGGGGCACAGCCTTTGGGGGGACTGCGTGTGTCTTTGGGGGTGTCTGTACTCCTGAGCCCCCCGTGGGTACTGCCAGGAGGTCCCCGAGCACCCCAGGACAGGGGATCTCTGCAGGCTTGGGCACCCAAGAGAGCGTAGGGTGAGGGCAGCAGGCAGGACCTCAGGGCGGCCCTGGGCAGAGCAGGCTCTCCTGGCAGGAGGCAGGCGTGGGAGCCCACAGGCGGGGACACCCCTGCCTGCAGCGAGCCCCCTTCCACCTCGACACGCTCCAGCACCCCCTGCCCAGCCCTCACACCTGCACCCCCTCGCTCCAGCCAAATTTCCCAGTCGATTTCACCGGTACCCCATAATACTGGGGATAGGGAACGGGGACAGCCCCTCCTGGGGATGCTTAGGGCAGGAAAGGGGGACGTGGAGGGGCAGACGCCCGGGATGGAGGACCTGCTCCTGGAATGGAGGGGGCATTCCGGCAGAATGGAGGGAGCAGATCCCTGGGATGGAGGATATACCCCTGGGGTGGAGGGGGTAGAACCAGGGGGGATGAAGGGCAGACCCCCGGGATGGGGGAGCAGCACCAGGGGGGGATGGAGGGTGGACCCCCGGGATGGGGGAGCAGCACCGGGCAGGGATGAAGGGTGGACCCCTGAGTTCGGGGGGCAGCACGGGGAAGGGATGAAGGGCAGACCCCCAGGTTGGAGGGGCAGCACCGGGGGGGGA